ACAACCTTGGTAATTCTCTCAATTAGTGATTAGTGTTGTTAACAACGGTACTTTCTTTTCTTTCCTTTTTTGTTGGGAACTGCATATGCATGTACGCTTTAACGAAAAAAAAAAGGAAATTGTTAACTATTTCTTGTCCATGAAGGAAAAACAAATATGCAACAATAGCTTTGTACAAATTAATGTGTGTTTAGTTACATGTAACAAAAAATGCGCCATTATATTTACACATACAAAATATTTTAATGCAAAAACAAATTTTATAAGGAACAAGAAAGATTTACAAATGAATTAAAAATTAAATATGGAGCTATGTACTATAATGTATGTGTCTTGTGTGTGTATAGTTATATAGTACGTACTGCTGATTCATTGTCTTTCTAGATCAACTACACGATCTTGGTCAACTACCAAGATTTTGTTTGTCAACATTAACAGAATATTGATTAAAACGACACGTAGATTAGTTAACTCGGTTTAGTTAGCTGAAATTAACGTCGTTTCATTGTTTTAGTAAAACGATATCGTTTTCATTTAGAGAAATCTTGAAATCGAATATTTAATTCGATAAATTCTCAAATGAAAACGACGTCATTTCATATGAGTTTGTAACACTTATTCTACCATTCAACGCAAGGAGTCTGTGACGCTTATTTTACCATTCATCGAAAGGAGTCTGTAACACATATTCTACTATTCAGCGAAAAAAGCAAAAATGAGAAAGAGTACTCAGTAACTATACATTCATATAGCATTCAATCTGATAAACCATTCAGTACCTAAGTAAGTAAGAATCGCACATGAAGTAGAGTGGCTCACTTGGTTCCAATTCTTAGTAGAATTGGTTTCTGGTTTTGCATTGTGGGCATTTGTGTTGAGTTGCGATGTAACGTATGAGATCAAGGGTGAGATTTGGATTAGCTTGGACGAACTCTGGAAAGTCTACCGTGGTGGAAACGCTTTGTAGAGAATGTGCAAGGAAAGCTAATGCGGAAGTTCTGATTTTTGTGTTGTCTAGTAGAATAGCTTCCTCCTTTGTTTCAACGTCGTCGTGTTCAGCAAAAGCAGCCTCCATGTGTGTAAACAAAATTCCATAAATTACGAGACGACAGAGGGCGCTATTGATGGTAAAATGAGACGAGATCCAGTCTCGTGCAATCTCTCGAAGAAGTCTCAGTCCGTAATATTTGGCAGCGATGTAGAATGTTTTGGCATGTTCACGCAGTAGCTGCTCTGGAATAATTGGAACTGGGTGGTAGAAATAGGTTTGAATGAGGAAGCTAATTTGTTCAAAGGTGAGGAGATCCAGAGTGAGGGTTTCGTAATCTTCAATTTCAGACAGGCGTAATGTGAGAAGCTTCGACTTGGCCATTATGCACAGTTTGTACACAGTTACACGACGGGGGTCTTCACCCCCTTCGCTGATAAACACACTAGATATCACATGTTGGTACATATGGTTGGTGAAATCATGCAGAGGCTCGTACTCGAAGTCATCCATCTTCTATCTCTCTGCAACCATGAAAAGAAAGCATAAAGCATTCAAATATTGAGTATCAGGTTCTAAAAATCACCTCTAAACAAAACATAGCAATTATCATGAAATTCCATAACCAACACTTGATTCAATGATTCAGATACGTTTACCCAATTCTATTCAAACTCGCAACATCCGTAAATTCCTTGGGGAATTCAGAACCAACACTTGATTATCAAGAGATTCATGATTCAGAACCAACACTTAGTATTAGAAAATTCATGATTCATATACTATTACCCACCCGATTCTATTCAAACATCGATGAATTCACAACCGCTACTACCGATTAACATCGAAATTCATGATTTGAGATATCATCGATAACATCCAAAACTCAAATTCAAAATCGAACATCGGTAAATTCATGATACGATTAGCCGATTCTATTCAACCATCGATGAATTCACAACCGCTACTACCGATCAACATCGAGTTCTATTTTTTTTTGTCACAACAAAATTTCATTGATAAAATTATTCTCCATCAAAGGAGAAATTATTTACAATGCATGAATCCAAGATCATCAAAAAGACTACTACAAACCATAAAGCATGGAAGAAAAAGATAGATGCGGTCCAAATGCTTGAACAACAAGAGCCGTGGAAGAGATCGCCGACAATGTTGTTAAGAGGTGAGACGACGACGGAAACAAAAAACACACATGGTGATACAATGTTCGAGATTTAAACTGCATCCAAGGCAGCATAATCAATAATGATTTTGGCTACAAGCGCATATATATACTGGCTTACAGAGCCTTCAAATAGGATGAGAATCGAAGCATTTGTACTCTTCGACTCATACCTGACTGCAACGAAACCACTCAAAAGAATAGGAAACGTTGGAAAGAAAACAAACTTCGTAACGGAGAAGTCACGACAATAAGTGCCCAAACAATCCAAATTCACTAGAAACATGGCATAAACAATCTCAATTCTTTTAACCTGCCACAAGAAAAATGAGAAGAACTTGGTAGCACCAATAGCCAAATAACATAACCTGCAGTATGTAGTAAAGACTCGCACCAAGGCGAGAAATGTCTCAAAGAGAGAAACTAGGAAAAACCTAGTAAAAAACTCAATACGAGGTAATATCGGAACATTGCAAAAGAGATAAGCAAGAGCCACGAGCAACAACTTCGGGTGAACACCAACATAGGTGCAATCCCAACAAGTACATGATTAAAAATTGCTAGTAAAAATTGGTTAGTCGAAAAACGAGCCTGGATTTTACTCATAACATTCCAAAAGAAAGGAGGATTGATTTCAACAATTAAGCTTGGAGAATCCATAAAAGGGAATTGAGAAAGTGGCTTACCAATCCAATTATCAAGCTTGCCTATTACTTCCTTTGTCCATGTGGACGCAATAGTTTTCTCCACACCGTAGAGAACGAGAACGAGGGAAACACCCAAAGTCGTTGGGTAATGGACTTCGGACAAGATAAAGAATTCTCGATATTGGGAAAGAAGGACTGCACTTAACAGTAAGGGATCGCAGGGACACGAAATTTATGATCTGAGATATCATCGACAACATCCAAAATTCAAATTCAAAATCGAACATCGGTAAATTCATGATACGATTCTCTGATTCTATTCAAACATCGGTGAATTCACAACCACTATTATCGATTAACATCGAAATTCATGCTCTGAGATATCATCGACGACATCCAAAATTCAAATTCAAAATCGAACATCGGTACATTCATGATATGATTTAGAGATAAGGTGGCTAGCCACAAAGGTAGTAAATATAATAGGTGTCTATCTATAGGTTCATAGAAAGTGCATGGTTTTATATCCAAGCCACGATTACTAAAACACCTGTTTACTGCATTTTTTGGATGTTGTTTTGTTTATATATTTACTGCATTTACTGCATTTTTTGGATGTAAGTAACAACGGTAACTTTTTGTTGGCACCTATTTGTACGCTTTAGAG